GGGAAAGAGACTGATAAAATGGAACAGAGTGGGATGGAAGAGGTGGGAGGAAGGAAAGGAAACTTTCATTTTTCATTGAAAAGCTTTCCTACATAATTTGAATTTACTAACAACATATAAAAAAGTTTTTAAAGTATACTTGGATTAGAGAAAATATGTAACAATAAGCAAAAACTGCAAAAATATGTTAAAGAGTTTTAAGTAAAGCAAATACATCAAAAACAGCTTGGAGTCATGGTGAACACTTCTTCAAATCTGAAAACCAAAGTCAAAGCAATAGGAATGTTATTACTTCAAAGTTCTCTCCTAAAACTTACAATATTAATGCTTAGCTTTCTTGCCAGTTCTTCATCACTTTTCAGCTGTTCTTCCATCTCTTTTCTCCTTTTTTCAGCCTGTCTTTTTTCCTCCTCTTCTTCCTCTGCCAATAATTTCTGTATGTATTCTTCACTGGCTTTGTTTTCTTCTTCTTCATTGGCTCGTCGCTCTGCCTCTACCTTAAAAATGATTAACAGAGAACAATCCTCCTCTGAACTTTTAATATATTTGCAATATTTCTTAAGAACAATAAAAGTAAAAAAATAAACAATATGGCAGAAATTAAAATATCTCAAATGATGTATAAATCTAGAGAGGCAAATTCCTACCAAATAGTTTAAGAAGTCTCTTTTAGGAAGCCACCCCCAGTCAGCCCAATGAAACCTTAATCATACCCTTCATCCCTCCTCATCTCAGTACTTATCACCATTTCTACTACACTGTCACACATTTATGGACATGTTTCTAGGTAATACTTTTCCTCAGTTAAAAGAATGCCATGTGTTGACTTAGGCCTAGGTTCCTGAACCAACCCCTACCAAAGGGTATATAATGGTAAAAAATGACTTGGACTAATAAGGACATATCCTTGAAGTTGAGATGAATCTCCAACACAGTGGGCAGGAGTGGCATGGTTGCTTTAGAAACCACAATGGTTATTATATGATTTATAAATGAAAACTGACACAGAGAAGCAAATAACTTCTTCAGATCAGTAAATGGCAGAGTGAAGGCTCAAACTCCGATTCTAGGATCTAAGGCCATGCTTAAGGTCATTTAAGCTATACTTGCTGAAAAAATATGAACCACTTTAGAATTCCAAAGGATGTAATGCAAGTATTTGATCCAATTCATTGAAAAAAGTGAGGTTCAGATAAAAAGTTAGCAAAGATTTGGAGCTAAAGCTCTGAATGAATCCTGGTCTCAGCACATTATTGTAAGGATTAAACTATTCCTTTAAAACCCTTACTTAAGAGCACTGCTTAGACAACTATCATAGTTTATTATTTGTTAGTTATCTAGACCTGCATGTTCCAATACAGTAGCCAGTAACTACATATGGCTGGCTATTGAGCACCTGAAATGTGACTAGACCAAAGCTATATGTATTATAAGTACAAAAGACTGTGAAGACTAAGTAAGCAAAAACAGTGTAATCGCTTCTCAGCCTTTTGGCTAAGATCATGTGCAAAAACAGTGTAAAAATTTTATGATTAATTTTTACATATAACTTTATATAATTAATGCCTAACTATATGTTCTATGATTATGTAGTTAATATATAATTTCATATGCTTTCTATATTGATAACATAATAAAACGTTTTTGATATAATGGGTCAAATAAAATATAAATTAAAATTAATTTCATGTTTTTTTGGAAAAAAATTTTTTTTTTTTAGTTTAAATTCTATGTAAGCTCATATTGCCTATCTGTTGGACAATACTGCTCTACACTAAGCAGGAGGGTAGGAGGATAATAGGGTTCTCCTAGTACTAGTGAAGTTCAGACTTCATTGTAAGCACTACTCCCTCTCTTCCTATCTAGGTAATTCATAATTAGCCCTGTTTTATACTTTCCTCATCTTAATTCATTGTTGTGTCCCCCAATATTCATATGCTGAAGCTCTAATGTGATGATATCTGGAGGTGGGTCCTTTGGGAAGTAAATTGGGTCATGTCCTCATGAAAGGGAGGAGTACCCAACCCATATAAGACATGAGAGATGATCCCTGATCCATCTCTCTCTCTCTGCCACATAAGGAAAGAGGGAGAAGGCAGCTGTTTACAAACCAGGAAGCAGGCCTTCACCCAGCACCAGATCTGCTAGTATCTTGGATCTTGGACTTTCCAGCCTCTAGAACTGTGAGAAATAAATGTTTTGTTGTTCAAGCCCCAAGTCTATGGTATTTTTGCTACAGCAGCCTTAATGGACTAAAGCACCCACAATCTACCAATTTTACCATCCTTTAAGCTGAAATCTTCAGGATAATGAAAAAAAACCTTCATACTTAAATATCACATAAGAAGAGTACCAATTATGTATAATTTAAAGCTAGTTTGTAACTATCTTGAACACATGTAAAAAATAGAATCTTTATAAAGTACATTACAATTACTTACCTTTCTATAATGTATATAAGCACATAAAACTACATGTAAAATCTGAAACTGAAAACATAGCAGAGAATTTTTCCAAAAAATAACTAGCTCCTACCTTGCTAATCTCCTCTTCATATTCTCTTCTTAATTCCCCAGGTTTACTTAACAGACGAATTGGCTGATAGTCATCAACTGTTTAAGATCAAGAAAGAAAATAATATAACAGGCATCACAGAATTTTATGGCTAGCTTTGGTATTCTACTAAAACTATATTAACATAAAATGCAAAATTAAAATAAAATGTACAATTATTAACAACTATAGCAATATCTTTTAATTAATTGAAGAAATTATTAAAAATTTTTCCCCCCGTCTACCTCCCTCATTCCCCCCTCCCCTACCCTCTGGTAACCACTAGTCCATTGTCCATGTCCATGAGTCTGTTTGTTTGTCCTGTTCATTTGTTGCTTTTAGGTTTATATCCCACATATAAGTGATATGTGATTTTCAACTTTTTCTATCCAGCTTATTTCACTTAGAATGTTTATTTCAAGGCCCATCCATGTTGTCACAAATAGCAGTATTTCATCTCTTCTTATGGCTGAGTAATATTCCACTGTATATATGTACCACAGCTTCTTTAGCCAATCATCTATTGTAGGACACTTGGGTTGCTTCCATGTCCTGGCCACTGTGAATAATGCTGCTCTAAACATCAGTGTGCAAATATCTTTTCAGAATGAGTTTTCAAGTCTTTGGGGTAAATACCCAGTAGAGGGATTGCTGGATCATATGGTAGATCAATTCCTAATTTTTTGAGGAACCTCCATACTGTTTTCCACAGTGGCTGTACCAATTTGCAGTACCACCAGCAGGGTATGAGGGTTCCTATTTCTCCGCATCCTCTCCAACATTTGTTATTACTTGTCCTGTTGATTATAGCTATTCTAACAGATGTGAGATGGTATCTCATTGTGGTTTTGA